CTTCCGCACGAGGCTACACACACCTATCGCTGATATATATATGCATATATATATATACTACAGGTAAGATGTTAATTGTTCATAACCTATCCACTGAACCTCACCGTAAAAGATCTGTACTGCCCTTTTAACGTCTGTCTTCTCTCTTATTGTTTTCTCTCCAAGAACTCACTGTCAGAGATGATAAGTAAACTGCAGAACTGCACCCCTCACTTTGTGGAGTGCGTGCGCCCCAACCCCAGCGGTCAGCCTGACACATTTGACAGCTTCCATGTGTCCACCCAGCTAAAGTACATCGGAGTGCTCGATATGGTGCGTGTGATCCGTTATGGATACCCCGTCCGCCTGTCCTTCTCAGGCTTCCTCAGCAGGTCAGTGTCAGAGCTTGTTGTGTGATAAAAGGTTTATCTTCTTAAGGTGCTGTGCTACATCAGCACACTGTTTCAGTCGCTTCTTTTCCCTCCCCAGAAAGGTTTTAAAGATGACAAATTGCACTTCTCTGTGTCTCTGTCTGCCTCACTGTTCTCATTACAATCCCAGCAGGTCACTGTGGTCTCTGTCACGTTAAACATGACACGTCCAGCAGGTCAGAGTAAGCTGGAAGTAAAACAGTCCATGGCTTTCTTCACATCTGTGGCTGAATGTGAGGCTGTTTTTTTTTTTTACAGTACCACACTCAGACGGACACAAAGGAAAGTCAGAGAAACCTTTTTGTTCAATGTGTAGTTTGACTTCGATAGTTGTTTTGGACTTTTATAGGAGACCATTGCTACTGCTAAATGTCACAGAAACATTTTCCAAAACGGCCTGACACACAGGCATTAACCAACATGTTGGAAGGTCACTTTGACCTGCATCAGGGTTTTTCAAATGGTTACTCCCCATTGGGTCTGGTTTGATTCAATTTTATTTAGATTAAAATTGATAACAGAACCCTATCATTCCACTTTTCTTGTACTTCCACATCTCGCTCACAATCTTTCACATTTTACGGGTTTGTCTCCACATTTCTCTCCATGTTCTTGTGATTCCTTGAAAGCAGCAAAGCGCTGACAGATGTTAGCGGTTAAATTAGTCTCGTTTCTTCTCTCGCTCTCAGCCTCTGCCTCTCTCATCTCATTCTCTTTTTCACATTACAAGATTAACATTAACATTCTTGCCAGATAATAAAAGACGTCAAAGCTGAGCACAAGGCCACTCCCCTCGCAAATATAAGGGTTCCACTACAGATTAGCTGGCCTCTAAAACTTATGTCCAAACTTCAGTCAAAAAAGCACGACTCTTCTTTTTTATGTTACAACACTTTTACTAAGCAAGATTTTTCCTTTCAAGATTAGAGGTAATCAAGTATATTGTCATAAAAAACAAAGCCAATAGCACACTCTAATTTGGTTCCGACTCCTATAATTAAAGAAGAAAGCATTGAGGACCCATAAGCAATACTTAACGAGTTAATGAATTTCGAATGAAGAAAAGTAAAAGCAGCCGTGTGAGACGTGCAAGACCTCAGGCATACACAAGAGAGCAGATCTTTAGGAACAAGTTCAACACAAAAAACATGGCTCACAGAAGGAAAATAAAAAACTTAAACACGTTTGCTTGGCAGAAGTTGACCATTTTATTATGAACACGGCCAAACCTACGCATTTAACCTGGTGTAGGTTTTAAGTTATTGAATTATTTTTCTTGAAAAATACAATTGTTGCACATGTGATTAATGCGTCGTCTAATCATATGTTTATATATTTGTATACAAACGTAGAGAGAGCACAGTTTTTACCTGTATGTTTTTGTACGTGTTTATCTGTCAAGTTAGCAAAATATCCCACAAGCTACTGAACAGAATTTAATGACTCACACAGTAAAGTAATCACTGGATGTACATCTACAACTAATGTTTCAACTACATCCAATATGGCTGCCACATCTAGGCTAACATTGACAACCACATACAGTAAATGACTACATTACAGTCCTCATGTACTGATAACATCAGGTGTGCTGGTAGCTGAGAGTCGTGCCAATATTATATTCTGAGCACTATTTACCATATAAGTCAAGCTTGTTAATAAATCTGCCATTATGTATAGGAGTCGACTCTGTCAGCAAGATATCTCAATAACCGCTGGATGGATTCCAATCAATCCTTCAGAAAGTTATCATTAGATGTACATCAACAGCTGGTTAACTTTCAGAGTCAGCTCGGTTCAAAATAAACATTCAGTTTTACACATTTTGAGATTAAGTGTAATCATAGTAGTTACCATTGTTACCAGTCCTTAACAGAAGTAGTTGTTAACGGAACATATTTTGAACACTAATACATCTTACAGGATCTTTCAATCTCACATGAGACTGTGCATTTTGCTATTTACAGCTACAACTCCATCCCTTATTGTTATAAGATGGTCCAAGTTTAAAATATGTCATGGAAGTGTAAGGAAATATGCACTCATTCAAGTAATGTTGGGCTTTTTTTATTATTTGTTTAGCCAGTAGTGAGCATAAATCCTTCTAATTCTCATAAACAAAGTCATTCTTGAATATATGAGGTGAATCCAAGCTGACAGAAATATTTGAATCAGCTGAGCTAACTGGACTTTAACGGTCTAAGGTCAAGGGCACTAAAACCGTACAGAACACGAAACTTGTAAAATGCAATATCCCTTGGAAGCCCAAAAGAAAAAAATCCTGCAGATTTGGCACAAATGTCCACTTTGATTTAAGAATTAACTTTATACATGTTGGTGGTCAAATGTCTCGGGGCTCATATGCCTCAAGAACATTCCAAGGTGTCCCATTTATCTGACATGGCCGAGTTTATAAAACCTGATTTCATACACAAGTTATAACAAATTTACAAACATATATGATCATGCATTTCTTTAAATCTTATCCACATGGTCAAACCATATGCAAAAACTTTTTAAAGTCATATAGTGATGCAGGAAACAAAGAGAAATTGTGTCGAGAAAAAGTCTTTACAATCTTTCACCACCGTTATGTCTCCGTATTGTGTTTTGTGTCCATACCAACAGAGTTGTGTGCTCCTCATTAAAGCCAAGCTTAATTTAAGTGTCTGCCACTCACAAAGACACCAGTAATCCCAACTTAAATGCCATGCAATTCTCTGTCCCTTCTTCACTGGGCTAAGCACAGACAGGGCCAATAAATGAACAACGATTTAGCCAAGAAATCTTCGGCAATGGGGGTTGGACAACTCTTCCCACAGCTCATTGTCTTTAGTTGTGTGTTTTCCTTACATTCTCTTTTCTTCAGAAGCACAGGTTGCTCTAATCTTTTGCTTTTTTCTAGATCTTATTCGTAGCTTCTTTCAGTTGTTTTGTTGCCTGTTTTTCTTATCATGCGCACGCACTAAATACAATTTAGTTATTTTTTCTATTCTCACTCGATTTGTGACTAATTGAAAACAGGTCCATGGCCCTTGACTGATCAACAAAACAACCCAATAAATTTGCAGTTAATCTTGACATTGGTGTATACGCTTCTGAACATACACAGATATGTTTCTATACCGTGACCACGCAGACGTCTTTGTGACATGCTTGCGACTTTTTGAAGCAAAACCCAGAGTGATTGATGAGGAATTGGAGTTTTCTAATTCCTTTATTTGTCTTTTATGATACAATATATCAGGGGTCTGCAACCTTTACAATCAAAAGAGCCATTTCTGTCCCTTTGTTCACTAAATTAAACGTGTCCGGAGCCACAAAACCTGTTACAACTGGGATTCTCAACTGGTAGCCCACAGACCACTTTAAGTTGGTTGGAGGACAATTTTCTGACAAGTAGGGTTGTTGGGTAGGGTAGTTTTCTGGCCATTGTAAAGTTGAAAATGTCTAATGATTTGTTGAAATTTTTAGATTTTAAGACAAAAAAGGACAAGATTTTTCTAACGAAGGAAAAATAATATGTTCTTTCCCAATTAAAAAAAATATATACATAACAATGAACTATGCAAATCTAGGTAAATTATTTTAATTGTGGAAAAATAAAGTATCCTACTTTGAATAAATAAAGTTAAAGTATGTTCTACTCCCTCTGTTAGTTCTAGTAGTCACATATTTGCAAAGAAATGACAGAAAAACTAGACCTTTTGTTGTTATAAGAACCAATAAAATTCAGTTTAAAGTTAGTTTTGATCAAAGCTTGAAAGAGCCGCTGCAGAGGGACCAAAGAGCCGCATGTGGCTCCCGAGCCGCAGGTTGCAGACCCCTGCAATATATGCCACATGGTGGCTCAGCTGGTAGAGCTGTGGCCTCTCAGTGAGAAGGTCGACGGTTCAGATCCCGGCCCGGGACATTTCTGGGTGGAGTTTGCATGTTCTCTCTGTGCATGCGTGGGTTTGATCTTTGTATTCCAGTTTCCTCCCACAGACCAAAAACATGCATGTTAGGCTGATTGGTAACTCTAAATTGTCCCTAGGTGTGAGTGAGAGAATGAATGGTTGTTTGTCTCGTTTGTCTCTATGTGTCCCTATGATGGACTGGAGACCTGTCCAGGGGGTGTCCCCCACCTCTAGCACAGTGACTGCTGAATATAGGCACCAGTGAGCCTCGCAACCTGAAAAGGATGAAGCAGGTAAAGATAATAGATGGATGGATGGATACAGTATGTGGTTGTTTACAGTTTTGTTTTAGTCAAATACAGCCATTTGAATCTGTTATTTGTTTGCATTTTATTATAGCTCTCTCCATACATTATCACCAACCATCAGGACATCTGGAAGATTGTGCAATTGTCTGTGTCTGGGTGTGTTTTTTGTCTGTTATTAAAAAAAAAATCTCTCAAACCAGTGGACAGAATTAAGGAATATTGCTGAAAGCAATCGTTAAATGTACATCCATGGCTGGTTAACCATTGGGATCAATCTGATTCAAGATGGTCACCACACCTTGGAAAACACAAAAATATCTCAACTAACATGGTTTTACAGGCGTTAATAATAATTTGTTTTCACTATCATGTTCTTAAAATATGTTTCTCAAAGGTTTATTGAAGCAACAAAATCAGAAATTGTATAAATAGTATCTAACAAGGTTGAGTCAGGTCCTATGGGCGGATTCTTCTTTCTTGATATTCATTATATGATGTATACATCGTAACTTCAAATAAATTAAGGGTTTAAATTACATATACGTTGCCACATTTTATTTATTTTTTATAGTCATAGTAGTCAGCAATGTCTCTGTGGTCACAATGAACCATGATAGCTCTGTGTAGCCTTTAATTTGTATTAAAAGGGTTATTCAGTTCATCAGGTCCGCACAAAACCCCTTGGGTCTTGTAAAAGCCAGGGAGCATCGATAGTTTTCATATCCTCATACGGGAGGTCATGGGGTTTACAGAGTTCCTTTGTGTTTTATGTGGGGGGTGCAGTGTCTGCTGGGCTGGTATTGGCATAAGGAGAGAGGGTTAGGTAGAGTTCAGACAGGGCCCCCTATCTGCAAATCAAACACATCCAACATTCACGGAAACTCACTCACTCACTCAGTATTGACAACACGAGTGGTTTATGTTTCCAGCCATCTGCTTCTTATTTTTGCTTCATCGAGTGTGTGGGATCATCAGCTGCTCCTGCCTTTTTACCAACATCATAAAGGAGCAAGAACTGACTGACAAAATGCATTTTTATTGACACTATTTGGAAAGGTGCAAAGAAAATTATGTAAATTGGCAGTACCTCTGAATTAGTTTCAGAACTAAAAGAGTTCCCTAAAATAACCCTGTGGTCTAGTAAAGTGTTAAGTCGACGATAAATGATGTTTAAATATATGCGTGCAATGTTTCTGGAGCTGCCAGGTCAGGTCAGTGCTATTTGACACAGCTGGATTTCAGATCCCTGACGTTTATGCATTTCCAGATATTCCAGTCATACTCACAAATGCTTACCTGAATTAAACATTTGGCTAAAACAAAATAAAGTGTTTGTTGTCAATTTTATTGTTCAGAATTGCTTTGACTGCATTTCTGTTTTGTTGGGAAATGTGTAGACAGCATGACTCGTAGAGAAAATATGATCAATGAACATCATGATTATTATTATTATTATTTTGTTCTATTCCTATAATAATACTGAATTAATTATTTGTCCACTGGTATTATCAGTATATGATAAGCAAAGGTAATAATATATATATATACTGTATATATTGTTACCTTTCATTAAGACTTTAAAGTTTGGGTTTGTCACATTTGTTGTGGAATACACTGAGCATTAAATAATTTTAATAACACATGTTGCTGCGAAGGAAAGTCAAAGCATCTTCTTAGAAAAACGTCTTAGTTTCTGTTTCACTTTGGAATAAAGTTGATTGAAATCTTTTTTTGTGTGTTCAGTTATAGTTTATAGAGATGATAACCTTTGAAGGACTGATGACTGCGTGTTTGATCCTTGTGTATAAAGCTCTGCTGTGTGTCACAAGTTGAACAATGCGGACAGAAAAATTACAACACACCCACATCTGTATCAGTTTTCACTCCTCAGGCAGCTGCTGCACTCGCGCTTCGTTTTGAACCACAAGTACGCAGAGAGAACTTTCACTTTACATGAAAACAGTTTGGTTTATAAAGTGTTACATAGTTCAAAGACTCGTTCTCCTCTCCAAGTCACTGACTCAGTCCAGCTGATCATTCGTAGCAACCATTGCCAGGGACAACCAACAGGAACAGATGCTTTGGCTTCTCCGCCGTACAACCCCCGTGACCTTTGGGTCCATTGTTTCCAACAGGAGACGGTCACCATGTCTCAATGAAATTTCTCAACTCGTCGTGTTTATCTCTGCAGCTCTAATGTCTTCTTTTTTTGCGTGTGTCTTCAGATATAAAGAACTTGTGATCTCAACTTTTGGAGACAAGAAGAAACGGTCCACAGAGGAGAAGTGTCGCTTAGTTCTGCAGCAGTCAAAACTCCAAGGATGGCAGGTGTGTTTGTGTGCATGGCCCCCCCACCTTGTGTGTGTCTTCATCGATAACAAAAGATTTTCCAGATGATTTAATCTCTGACCTGTGTGTCTGAAACATCTGATGGAATCTTGACATCTTGTTCCAGCTGCCCTGGCCTCATCATAATTCCTCTCACAGCAGCATGAACCCCTCCACCCCTCTCTCTGTGTTCTGTCTGCCAGACTGCTGTTGTGTCTGAATGTGTGACCCCTCAGGTCACACTCACTCCCTCACAATACCCTGCAGACTCTGTTCATGAACCTCTGTTTTACACACACACACACGCATGCTCTAGCTGGTGTTTCATTAAACAGTCTGATCAGTAGAAGTATGTCACCCTCACAGATCTATGCAACTTGTATACATTAACCCCTAAGTCCTAGGGGTAAAAGCATCGCCAGTATGCAAATCTGCACCCTATTCAACCTTTCCTCTCACCTATTAGCATAAATCACTGCTGCATCACTGCTTGTCCGTCCCTAAACTGCCACTTGTTTGAGTTTTTAAACAGAAAGCAGCCTCACGGGGTCTGAGCACCACTTGTAGATGTAACCAGTATAAGGAAGAATCATACATGTGTATTGTGCGTGATCTCTGTTTAGATGGGCAGTAGTAAAGTGTTTCTGAGATACTGGCAGGCCGACCAGCTCACTGACCGCTGCTACCAGCTTCACAAAAAGATTATCACCTGTCAGAAAGGTAGTATTCAAAACAGCAAGAAACTAATAACAGTCATGATCCAGAACGCTGTTTTTGTTCACATCTGACACCTTTTATGGTTTTTCTTTTCCATGGTTTAGTGGTTCGTGGTTTGTTGGCCCGACAACAGGTCAGTCGCAAGCTGTCGTTCCATCACAAAGAGGCGGACAGCGTGCAACGATTCCTGCAGGGAGCAGAAGACGTGGGGCTTCGAACCTACGACCAGCTGGTCATCCAAAACGCATCTGACATCGCAAGAGAGAGCGATCGTCTGCGAGGCCACAGCCTGCTCAGCACCCTCAGCAGCAGCCCACCTCTTGGTGAGAGGCCTGAGCCTGTGGGCAAGGAGGAGGAGCAGCCGGTCAGGAGGTAAATATAGACAAACACAAGGTATACACCATAGACTGCTTATATTAAAGACTAAACATCCCCACATTCTATGTTTTTTTGCTAATTGAAACCAGCAGGACTCAGAACTTAAAACTTATACTAAGATCATTGAAGTGCAGTTCATCACTTGTTTTAATCGACTGATGATTTCCATCAGATTTATCGTCAGTTTCTTTATAAACCCAGGTCAAAATTACAGAAAGGAAATCACCATCTAATGTGATAACCGTTTAAACATCATTTCATTTAAATAAGAACGTATGAGAAAATCTTATTCAGTTGAAGTTTTGAGTATGAAAATATTGATTAATTGTTGATAAATGTTACTATGAACTGAATTTTTAGAGTATTAAAATATTTCTGTGTGTTTGCTCACTGGCAACACCTGCAGAAGGGAGCAGCTGAAAAAAAAACAAAACCCTTAAAATATTTATTCCAATCAAATCTTGCTTTGGAAATTCATCCCTCTTGTTTTTTTTTTTTACATAATATTGATAAAAATTTGAAGAAGAAAATTGAAAATCAAACAAACATATACAGATAAATCTGTTTGCTCTTATTTAACACAACTAATCATTAGTTGCAGCTTGATAGCGATTTATACGAAAACACAGCAATTATTCAAAACCTGATTTTCACTTAAATACTGCCTCTAATAGGAGATATAATTTATTTCATAATTCTAAATGTGTTGACTTTATAAGTGACTGCAGAGTAACACACCTTCTGTAGTTTCTGTCCGTCATGAGATTAATTATTATATGAAGGAATCATTCACGTCTCTAATTACGTTCAGGATTTTAATCATGTCTCTGTTTCTGCATGTGTGTGTTCCAACGTGTGTGCAGCAGGTGTTCTGTGATTAATGATGTCATTCTATACCTGTGTGCTCAAGACTTTTAATTGTAAGGTTCATGATGGATGGTCGGATAACGAGCTGCGTTATCAGATTGTATAGTATTGCACCTATGGAACACTACTCCAGCCTACATGTTGCTGATATAGGAAATTACCCCAGAAGAAAGAGAATAGATGCAAGGGGCTTGTGGGGGAAAAAATTAATAAATTAA